CACCGCTCAGGCTTTACATGGCTGTGTTCCCCACACTTATATGGCATGTGTGTAGCTGCTTTCACAGATTCGCTGTTCTTCCTCGTCTGTGTGGCTCTGTTCATTTAGGAAATAATATAGAGCAGTGTGATCATGACAGTCCATGCAGATCTATGTGTGTATTCTCTTGCTATGTGTGTGTGTGTGTGTGTGTGTGAGTGATGTTCATTTACCGTGTTTTAATCTGTGCAGGTCGTGACAATCCTGGCCAATCTGTCTGTGCTGGAGCAGTGCACCGCAGACGTCCTGGAGGAGAAGGGTACGCCAGAGATTACAGTAATACTCTTCTGCTCATCAACAATCTGTAATGTTTTAACGAATGCTTTAGGAATCGAGCAGCTGCTGGTGTTACTGAATGAGAAGCCGTCATCCTCCAGTCCATCGAGAGCGCCGCATGTGAACGAGTTCAGCAGAAAGCAGCCGTTACACTGGCTCGACTTAGCAGAGACCCACTGCTCGCTCAGACCGCCATACAGTGCAAGGGTACGAGATTAGACACTTACAGGACAAGAACACGAGATCACCGACACTTACAGGACAAGAACACGAGATTACTGACACTTACAGGACAAGGGGACGAGATTATTGACAGCTCAAGGGTACGAGAGATCATCATCATCAGCACTAGAGTATGATAGATTAACCCCAATGGTTCTCCTCTAATTAGGAAAGACTGCACATCTAGACAATATTAATAATGCACAGTCATTTGCATTGCACTTTTTGCACTGTATCTGGATTGTAAGCGATATTCAATAATATAATTTGTCTATTACTTTTATTTCACAGTTGTTCCACGTCTGATCGAGCTGTGTCGCTCCCCAGCCGAGAGGAACAATAGTGATTCAGTTCTTGTGGCCTGTTTGGTAACTCATTATTATTAAATGCATGTGTTGACTTGTGTCATGTGCCTATATTCTTACAGAGCAGAAATGTTCAAATGAATGTCAAAATATGTGCTATCAAAACAAAATTAATTCTAGGAATAAGTGATTATAACTCCAAACTAAATTGAGACAAGGCAACCTTGCTTAAAACAGAAGGAAAACAAATGACTTTATGAAACTCCTGGAGAATGAATCATTTCAGGCTTAACTCTGTAGGATCAAAGAAATCATTTACTTGAACTTAGCCAAATAAATAAAAGTAAAGCCACACCAAATGAAAAAGGATAATTAGTGAGCTCTAACCTCACTAAAAACACAAAGCATAGGTCTCAGGGCCGCAGCTCTGCACCAACCCTAATCAAACACCGCTGATCTAGCAGTCTTGAACACCTGGATTATATAGATCAGCTGTGTTGGAGCAAAACTGTGCAGAGCTGCGGCCCTCCAGGAACCTATGGAATAAAGGAAACTACACTCAAGAACCCGCAAAGATGACGAGAAGCACAACTTAAAAAAGGAACAGAGCACACAAGAATCAGGTGAGCAATCACAATAACCCAAACAAACACGAGAGCATGGCGATTGAAAACAGTGATGAACAGCCACAAAGCCAAGCAGAAGAGCAGAATCTGCCCTGCGCCCCAGCTTTTACAAGAGGTCTGAAGCGCAAGCGGTTTCGCTTTCTCTCTTGTGCTCGCTGCGCATCTATATTTAAAATAAGAAACTTGAGCTAATTATAATAACGTGTGTGTGTGTGTGTGTGATTATTGAAGTGCTTCTGACATACGATCCTTTCAGAAATAGACAAACTCGAGAGTGAAGCGCAATAAAAACAAAGTAGGCTATTATGATTGATCTGCAGCTATAATCATGTTGATGAAAGGTTGGTGATGAACATTAATACAGTATTGATGCGTGTAAAGCGTCTGTGTTGTGAGAAGTGCTGCTCATATGATATACGAGTGACCCGTACAGCTTTACTGTAGACATTTTCTTGAGCGGGAATGACCCGACTGAAACTGTTGTACACCACACACACCACTGGTACCCGTCTAGCAGTGGAAATGCAAGCCTGATGAAGGTTGAGGAAACGGGTCACACCAACCTAACCAGCACATTGTTTTTCAGCAGGGTTGCCATATAAAAAGTGCACTTCCTGTTTCGAGAATTTCTGATGAGATTTGTAGAATGTGCTGTAGGTTCATCTCTCTCTCTCCTGTGAACCTTTGCAGGCTGCTTTGAGGAGGCTTGCGGCTGAATGCCCTGACAGCATGCTGTGTCATACCTGTGCAGCTGCTGATGCCTCTGAAGCAGTGCTGGTCAATCCAATTCATCTTGTGACAGCTTTAAACCTGCATCACCTGTACAATACAGAAGAAATGAGTCATTTAAAGGAAAAACTCATGACAAACCATTAAAACAATGGGCTAGTCAAGCACTCTTCATAGTGTTTAAACTACAACCAACATGTAGATTTAACTTGCACTATAATCTATGGTGACAGAAACTGACCCCTGCTCTCAATAAATCAAAGACATTTGTGGTTTTTATAAATTAGTGTATTTTTAAACAAAAAAACATTAACATTCAGAAAAAAATGATCATTAATGAACTCATGCAATAAAATGATTTCTGGCCTGTGGCGTACAGTAATTTCCCTTATTTTATATTATTGATCTTTCAGAAATCACAGAATGAGTCAGTTTAGTTATTTCATATATTAATGTACAAAACTGAAAAAACAGCCCTATTAAAACACATTAATCCACTGATGTAAAGACTAAAGAGACTTCACTGTCACTGCAGTGAAACAAGCAATAACAGCAGCAGCAATAATCATATAGAAATAGAGAAAACAATAAAATGATAACTGCAAAGAATTATATAATATAGAATTATAAAATATACAACTACATAATAAATATTACATACAGTTGAATTATAGTGCAGGTCATGTGTATGTACAGTAGCTGGTGTGCAAACAATTGTAAACTATTGCACAGGTTAATAAAATAATTGAGTGTGTAATTATCAGCAACACAGGGTAAAGGGGAAACTCAGTCACGGAGCATGTCCAGTCATAGTTTAAAGCACAATGCACAGCAGCAAAGCAAGAAACTGAACGTGAACAACAACAAGGCAGATTTGGTGGAGTTGTGGAGAAGATTAAACGTTATCCTCAATAATTTACTTGAACAGCCAAAAATATGTTTTCCAGATTCATGGATGTTACCTGAAAGTGATGCAGGCGACTCATCTAGTTCTCGTTTCCTCTTCTTGGCTCCAGACTCTTGTTGTTTTTCACAGGTAGAGCTGCAACTTGACTTGCATCAATAATAATTATATGCTGCAAAGCAGCCACAAAGAGAAGTGGACCCAACGCTGCTATGCATGTACACGGAAAATATTACATTACAGGTTTGCTTTTTGAGTCAGTCATAAAATAAATTTTTAAAATGTATTTAACAACATGTTGAGCCCTACACAGCATGCATACTCTGCGTATAGGGAGCGGCGGTACTGGCAAGCTGCTAATTAACGTTTACGTGATTTAGCTGATGAAGAGCATACAGTACTTTCAGCATCCTGTAGATGGCGATATCGCCTCGTCCGCCCAACAAAATTAGCCGTGGTAGATAAAGATGCCGATGTGTCACGCAAAATCACAATGTAACAAGTAACGGTAAGCGTCTGTTCAAATGTAGTGGAGTAAAGAGTGCAGATATTCAATCAAAAATGTAGTCGAGTAGAAGTTGCTTATATTTTTAATACTCAGCACAAGTACAAAGTTGCAAAAACATACTTGAGTAAAGTAACGAGGTCCATTTACTTTAGTTTACACCACTGATTAGCAGCAACAAGATTCCAGTTAAGAGTTAGTGTGGCTCAGTGGTTAGCACTGTCGTCTCACTACCCGAAAGACATCCACATGCTGGAATAGTCGGCGGTTCATTCTGCTTTGGCCACCCCTGATAAATAATGGACAAAGCTGAAGGAAATGAATTAATTTAGAGTTGGTAAAAGTTTCGGTATTTACAGGCAGGGGGAAGTTTAGATGTGGCCATGGAACAAATGTCTGAGAAGCACAGAGCTGGTCTAAGTGTATGAGAGAGATGTAGATTCCTGATAATAAGATCACTCTGAAACACGCTTACACAAGAACAACTGAGAAATAAATTAATTAAGAGTGAAATAATCATCTGATACTGTCTGAGGAAGAATTAAGACTCGGTATGTTGAATAGTGTAGTTCAAGTGACATGGTTGCCTGTGCACTCAACACAAATCTGTGATCCTGGTCCATCCTTAAACTGAGCTGATGAAGATTGTGTGGCATTATAATGGACAGAGTCTGCAGAACCAGCACAGCGCTTGAAGCATCATGGAGGTGTCAATCCACAGAACTCTCGCTTCTTCTAAAAGTAGTAGTTGAATCGGGCCCTGGCATATCTAAGACAGACACAGAGAGAAAATGTAAATATTGAGTTTCTTAAAAGCACAATCCTTCATGAACCACAGCTGCGTTTACTAAGAGAAGTACACTAGTGAGGAAGGCAATTCACCTCTGTGTTATGACCTCTGCTAACAGATTCAGCAGAGAATGATCAGGCTTTTACAACTGCTCTATTCCTGTTTCACAGATTAAATTAGATATTTGGAAAAAAGCAAGTGATACACATTTGGAAATCAAAGTCAATAGTGGAATGTTTTGCCTGGAGCAGAGCCCATAGACACCAGAACAAATGAGCCACCTGGACAAGGAAACGAAAGAACGCAGAGGAGAGACACAGATTAAGATAGGGTTAGATCAGGACATTTCAGATCTAACCCTAACCATGCTGCTGGAATCAGGCATGCCAAGCACAGAAAGCAGAACACACAGAACACTGAGCCTGAACATCTGCTTCCTCACTCATTCAGGCCTCTGCCGTCTCCATGAATGAGCTGATGGACAGAATCCGCTGTTGGCCTGTTCTGCTGCTGGAGAGCTTCTGTCCTGCATATTCAGCTCACAACCTTATTAAACACTTCTGATCCAGCTGATCATGCTCTTACTAGGCATACTAGAAGCCTCCAGACAGGGGTGTTGAGGACCAGCATTAGGACCCTGGTTTCTAAAATCATCGGACACACTGTGCTCAATATGTTAGGGCAGGGGNTNAANCTGTTCCAGTAATTAACAAAATATTGTGAAATATTACATGAGACCTTTGCATAGTTAGAGAGGGGATTTTGTGTTCATTTCCTACTCAAGTCCTATGGTTGGAGACTAAATGGAATATCGCCTTCATATCTTCATGTTTAGCATCGCTGGAGACAGAGGGGGCTTCAATAAGCCTGGTGGTAAGTTTCTAAAGCGTTATCCATTGGTTAGTCCACTCGACATTTAATATAGAGGCTATTCACGCCTATGTGTCCTTAAAACCTTTCATTTGGTGTGCCACTTTTGCCACTTTTTAAAAAAAAAAACTACAACTGTGTTCTGGTGGTTTATATTTGGTGTGTATATATTTGTATTTCTTCAAAAGTTGACGTGTCCTTTGAAAAAGCGTCTTTTTTAATTCTACATTTGACATTTCCATTTCATTCTGAGAATCAATTGTGGTCCAGGGTAATCCTGAAAATGGTCACATTTTTTCAATGCATTTAATTCTGCTCAGTTTTTTTTTTTATTGGCAGGTTGTCAGGTTTTTTTTTTTTTGTAAGTCATGATATCATTTACTAATAGGGTTTCTTGTTTTTCTTTGATTTTTGCCGAAACCCAGGACCCATGAGGGGTGGAATGGATCGTGATATGGGTACGTTTTCACTTGTTTTCATGCACTCTGTTTAGACTATTAAAATTCATTGAACTAATAAAGAGATGGGAAAGCCTTATTGTGATAATTCAAATGCTGTTCTATACAGTAATGCTGAGAAATTAAAAAGCCAATTTCAATATGGATCATTTTCAATATGGATGTTCTCTAATATTCTGCAGCATTTCAGTTACCCTGATTTACAGCAAATGTAGAATTGTAGCTAAATCTTTTTCTTAAACACACAGGCCATCCAGGAGAGCAGGACTCTGAGAACAGCACCATCTATATCACAGGTCTCACTGAGAATGCCACTCTACCAGAGATGGCTGAGTTTTTCAAGCACACTGGAGCAATTCGGGTGAGAAAATATGAATCTAGGTGGTTAATTCTGAATAACTGGTTAGACTGTTTTAATGATGACTTTGGTATCTCTCTTGCAGATAAATCGGCGTTTAAATCAACCAGCCATCAACATCTATACAGATAAAGACAGCGGCAAGCCAAAGGGGGATGCCACACTGTCCTATGAGGAACCTGCATTTGCCAAACCTGCAGTTGAACATTTTGATGGTTTGTTTGCTGCTTTTATCATATTGCCATAACTTTGGATTTTTTATTCTGCTACTTGAATTTATCATCTGTACTTTACATTTAAAAAAAAAAGGAAAGGAGTTTCAGGGCAGGAGATTAAAGGTCTCTATGGCCCGCCGGAAGCCCATGATTGGGGGAATGAGAGGAGGAATGCCAATGCGAGGTGGCCCTGGAATGGATCGTGGAGGTATGATAAACCCCCAAGGCATCAAGTGACGTTCAACCAGAAGGTGTTTGTTTATTAATGACTTTGTGCAATGCAGGAATGATGGGCAGAGGAGGCGAGAGAGGCGGCTTTCCCCCGCGTGGTGGCCCTCGAGGTGGAATGGGCTGGAACGGTGGCCCTCAACCAGGAAATGTGCAGAAAAGAGCTGGAGACTGGGAATGTCCTAACGTGTGAGAGATCCATCGTACTAGATGAATTGTTTTGGCTGGTAAATATGCATGAATCTAAATTAATATTTTTTTTTTTTTTTAGTGGTTGTGGAAATCAGAACTTCTCCTGGAGAATGGAGTGTAACCAGTGTAAAGCTCCAAAACCCGAAGGCCTTGGAACTTCTCCTCCCTTTTATCCAGGTACTTTCTGATTCAAAATCTGTTAGCTGTGATTAGTAATCTCTACTTGTGTCTGAGTTTGTGGTTTAAACTGTGTTTAAGGAGGTGAACGTGGCAGGGGTGGCATGAGGGGCGGCAGGGGCATGGACCGTGGTGGGTCGGAAGGAATGCGTGGAGGCTGGGGAGGAGATCGCGGAGGCTTCAGAGGCCGTGGTGGGATGGATAGGGGCGGATTCAGAGGAGGTAGCAGGTGTGGTCCTCCCATGGACAGAGGCAGAAGAGGCATGGGACCCCCAGGCAAGATGAAAATGAGGTGAGCATCACATGTTGCAAATGTTAACAAAATGCAAAGTGCTTTAGTGCTTGGGGTGCATATAGAGATCGTTTCTTTTGCTCTCTCAACAGGGATCATCGTCAGGAGCGCAGGGAAAGACCCTACTGAGTTCACGCATCAAGCAAAAGGAAATTTACATAGAGGAAGGGTTAGTAACCTTATTGAGAAAGAAAACCAGGTTTGTTTGATTGTAAAATAACCAAATTCAGTGAAATGACCCAAAATAGACCAGAAATACCAAATGAAATGACCTTAT